CGACAAATGAAAACTCACAGGAATATGTTTCAGCTATTAGAACAGAGTTTTTATAATACTAGTTTAAAAACGCACTTCAAAGATTGCAGTGTTTGAAGATGTAAATTCTCAGGAGGCAACAGTACTGTTGACTTCTCCCTCCACTGGACACCAACTAACTATTTAAGTTGATTTGCATACAAAGCAGAGCTTGCAACATGATAGCTATTCATAAAGGGTTTTTTTTTTTACTTTTCATATAATACAGTAGTCACACAATGAGGCAGTTCATATTTGTCTCAGTAAATCATTAATTTTTGACAGACACCTGTACAAAATACTTGGACTAAAGCCAGCTAAAATTTTCTGTTATCTTGCATGTTTTATGAATCTATTTACATCTAAATGCAGCACTTTTTTTTTCAATGAGACATTTGTTTTTATACTAAAATATCTGAATTACTTTGAAAAAAGCTGGAAATTATGTCCCTTAAAATAATTAAACAAATAAGGCACCAATGTTTTTGTAAGATATTTACATCTTTTAAGGACATTCGGTAGACTGATTCCCCACTGTTAGTTCAACCCCAAAACTTGTTTGTATTCAAAATTAATTATGAAAATGCATATTTATATTGAACAAACTATGATAAAGGGAATTATATTATATAACAAAGGGCAAGGTCACCAGAGTTCAACTATGTTCTTGTAATTTGCTTGGTTTCCGCGGTAATTGTTTGAAAATATCACAAATTATTGCTTATTTATAAACACAAATTGCAAACAAAAGTTTGTATGTTATTCATCCAGCGATAAATTCACAATAAAGGTATGTCACATCATCGTAATCGAAAGCAAAAGCGATTTAATTTACGTATGCCAGATTTCTGTTTTTAAATGATGATAGATGTCGTAGCTCTATGTTCGACGTACAACAACAAAATTAAAAAGAAGACGTCCAAATGAAATTGTTAGGGCGAAATTCAATTGTAATTCGCACCAAAGAGCTACGGAACCGCAGCTATATTTGAGCGTGGAACAACCACTCTTACGGTTCTGAAGTCTGTAATTAAGATTGATATTACTTTATTGTAAGCGATATCGCATTATAGTAGTAACTGTGTTCGTGTTCTATAAATGCTAGAGCACATTCTGGTGAGTTACCTTTACCAGCATATTGGTCGCCTGACAGAGCAGTCAGACAGTTCTTGGTATTGACGGAGAGCGCCATCATCGGTCAGTTCTCATTTGACTGGTCTTTCGTTTTTTGATAATTACATGGAAGTGCTTTTTCAAGGACTTACATTTGTATTTCTTATAGTTGTTGAGCTTTTCCAATACCCATTGTAATAGTGCATTGTGGGTAGCATTGTACTGTTTGCCTTTAGCGGTTTGTTGATTAAATGCTGTTCCTCTGAGATTTGGGGAAGACTGAAACACAACTTTGACAGGTGTGAGTGTGAGTTTATTTCTATAACAATAATTAACATTTTATTTTGTGGTGCTATCACTCTCAGAGCCAAACAAGTTATTAATTATCTGTGAAGATATATAGGTTCCCGAGTACCGTATAACATTAATCTCAGTGCAGTGGTGATTGATACCATTCAAAGTTTTTACCTTTGCTACACCAAGTTTGTGGTGTGGCATATATATATCAAAATTGTTTAAACATATAAACGTTACTAGTTTTACATGTACTGTAAAGGGTTTAATTATAGACATGGTTTTAATTTTGCTTATGCGCTGACTGAAAATTCGTTAAATTAAAACCCAGTGAATATGTCAAATTGAGCATAGAACACATTTAAAAGATAAAACCGTGAATTTCAAACCCACTGAATATGCCTGAAATGGTAAATCAGTGTTTTTACAGTATTTGCTGATAAATCATACCATGTAGCTTTTATCAAGATGTACCACTACAAATAACAATTAATTAAACGTACCAAAAATAAGCATAATTATCACTGAACATTGCCTCAACATTTAGTCAGTGATATTAGTCTCTGTCTATTTTTTGAAAACTTACTCTATTAAATAAAAGAATTAAATTGATTGATGTATTTAGAAGTTTTTCTATAAGCCGACAAATCTTTTTTTTCCTTATTTTAATATTTTATTATCCTGGATCTTGTGCAACGTATAAAACTCCGAGTGTAAAATTGGACCCCAAGAACCCACCTAGATCCGCCACTGTTAGCAGCATCACCTGTCGAAATAGCGTCACTTCACTGCCATCGTCCGTCTACATTCTACAACTCTCACAGCGTGTCTTTTTTGACATAAGGTAAGTCATTGCTCTTTCTACAGAATTTTCAGCGAAGTGTTCATGGTTCGCATTTTTTTTTGGCCATTTTATCACTGTCGAATTTGAATCAGATCCTCAACTGGAAAATGTTTTTTATTGATTGGTCCATTTATATTCAGAGTTTACATTATTCGACACAAATCGATTTGCAGCAGCACCACATCATTGTTCGATCGATTCCATACATATTGTGTATGCATTCACAACTAGACCTGTTGTTGCTTTGCCAACAATCTTGTGTCTGTGCAAAGAATGGGGTTTCCTATACGCATCGCTATTTAGAATGACTATTCAAGTTAATCTTGTCCAAGCACATGTTATATCGACGTGTTTTCCACCACCATCTGTTCTTATGACAAAGACTAAATGAGTGATGTTAAATTGAACCATTGTTGTGTCAAAGCCAGAAAGTTATTCTGGGAATCATGTGACACTATTTTTGCTGGCTATTAATTACAATTAGGAAAAATGTCTGCTGTGTTTTGGCGTAATGCGTGTAGCAGCCGCACTACTTCCCGCAATTAGAAAACTAGTAGTATATTCCGATGGGGGATTACTTCATTGTTTCCACTTCCGTTGAGCGAATTCTACACATCATAAAAGGTGACGTCTGCGACCAGGTACATTTGATGAAGGTAATGCAAGAAACTGGCACTATCATTCACTTGGCTGCTATTGTAGGGTACCAGCTTGGAACAAGACCTCGCTCATGACATCAATGTGGGCTCCACAGAGACCATTATCAACAATCTGCAGTCTAATCAAAAGTTACTATACACATCAATTGGGTCGTGTTACGGTGCCGTTGAGGGAGTCTGCACAAAAGAGACACCGATCCTGTCGAGTTGTCCCCCTAACTTTGTACGGCAGCACGAAGGCACAATGTGAACAGCTGGTACGCTGTGTTGGCGGTGTCGGTCTTTGACTAGCTACGGTATTCGGTGCTGCTCTTCGCATGCGACTGGATCTGCTCGTTAATGACCTCACACACAGAGCACTCAACTTGAAACCTTTCAATCTCTACCAAGGCAGTTTCCAGCGTACTTTCTTACACGTAAAGATGAGCGGCTATGCGTACAAATGAACATGACAAAATTGGATATCGCCAAGGGTGAGGCTAATTGAAGAATCAACGAATCAAGAATCAGCTAATCTAGAATTGTGCAATGACTATTTTTAATTGCTATTTTATTTGCAAGAAATAGCATTTTCTGTTTTTCAAAAATTAAGAATTAGAATATCCAAGAAATGTCATTCATGCATGCTAGCCTCAGCTCTCACACTTAATGATTTACGTTGGTTTAATTCAAATCTAAAACTGTCAACCACAAAATGTTTTCCTTCACGGAATGCTCATAGTAGAAGGCAAGACGTAGCGCGCACAGTCAGCTGGCATCGGTGAACAACAAAAAAACACGCTATTTCTTGATAATAAAATAAAACAGCAATTAAAAATAGTCAACTAACAACATATTGCTCATATTGGCAAATGCAAGAAAATGCAATTTAAAGTTTAATTTTGCTCAATTTTAATAAGATTGCATTTTCTCAATTTTTTACAACAGTGGATAAGATGTCACACTTTACCCACAATCCTTTGCTGAAGAATGAAGATCGGGGACAACACAATACTGATGAAAATATCTAGTACATGCATCTAGAGAATGAAAAGTGATATAAAAAGAATGGAAATTGCATTCGATTACATTTGTGGAGCTCTTTCATTTGAGGGCATTATGTTGTTTGCCTTGACTATTTCTTTAATGTCCATATTCAGGCACTCAAACTTTAATTAGCTGTTGAGTGAGTATTAACGTCCAGATTTAGTAACTGGAATTTTTATTTAGGTAAACTGAACATATATTTACAGCAACCAAGATTAATCGGCTCACCGTGTGCTTGAGGCAGAATCACAGTAGCGCAGCGGCAAGAGACTGGAACTGGGGTCTAGTGTATCCGGTAACTGAAAAATATGCATGTACATTTTATTTTAGTTCATTATTTATTTGCTGGTAGCTTTTTAAAACTTATTTTTTTTTTTAAATTGTTACTTTTTCATTGAACTTAAGTTTGTATATTTACTGTAGACTTCTTAGAAATTGATGTCACCTGATTATCTTCTTAATGTTTTTCTGTCATGACTTTTTTCAGTTTACACATGTGACTTTGGGTTTTTTTACTTTCAATGGATGTTAAGTGATTAAATAAACTCTGAGTATGCTGTGCGAAAACGTGTCTTGTGACGAGTTTGCTGTCTTGCGTATGGTCCTATTTCTGACATGATTCACATGTTAGGGTGACAGAGAAAGTCGAGGCAGGACCTTCACTCCCAGAGAATAAGGTACGCTCAGAAAAGACGAGTCAGAATGCAGCTGTAACCTCTTGTAGTGAGAACCAGTGTGACTTGCCTGTCAACGGGGTGCTAAGGGTTTTATAGTAAAAGTTATCAGTCACATCTGTTAATGTAATTTTGTTTTACTTATCCGTAAATCAAAATCACTGTATATCTAAACTCTCAATTGATGTACCGGTAGTTGTTATACTAGCATGCTTACTAACTTTTAGGAAAATGTCTGAATCACACATTAAATTGTAACTCGTTTTCTCCTGTTGCTATTGACAAATTAACACAATAAAAACAACAAATTACAAAATAATAATAAAAAATATTATGAAATTAAAAAAATACACATTCTACATAAGATTTTATTAAGTTAGAAAGCATACACCCTTACTGTGCTGAAACTATTTGTATCAAAATACATATTTATGATTTATACAAGTATCATATTAATATACACAATTCATAAAAGATAGTATTTCTAGTAGTACTAGAAATCTAAGAACAGAGTTTCTTTCAAAAATAGCATACTGTTTTTTTTGTTTTTTTTTCATTATAACACTCTTTGTTGTGTAACCCATATTTGAAACCGAAAATGTCATCTAACTGTAAGACTGTCGCTGATTGGCTCCAGAGTTTAATGATGAGTTCAGTTTTAACAACACCCTGGAAAGTGTTCTATGTTCTTTGTGTAATTAGGTGTTCATGTGTTCATATGAGAGATTTTTCCACATAAAAACAAGGAATTTAGCTGAATTTTGTTAGCAGTTGGCTTAATATTACCCAAACGGATCGTTTGGCTGTGGAAGATTTGTATTTTACTGGATTTGTAGAAATCTGAAAAACATGTGTCACAACTTTTCTCTTTATTTAGTTTCATGCCATATAGTGAATATCACGTTTATTTTATTATCACTTGTGCACCAGCTGACTGTGGATTGTCCCCAAGCACTTATGTACAAAGTCTTATTGAAATGCAATAATTGGTTTTTGAGATGTCGATGAAAAATTAATTATTACGCAAATTAGATGATTTACAAACGCAGATTTTAACCTAAAACTAATCAGGTCTGTGCATTGTTTCAAAAGCACCTACTTACCAAGTTTCATGAAATCTGATGAGCGGATCTCGAGATATCTGTGGAACATTCCTACCAACAAAACTGTATATACATACATGCACAAAGACTGTGAAGACTCCCATTGTATATTTGTAAGAAAAAATAATTATGCATAGTTTTCCAAAAGTCGAGCAACCCCTAAATATCATTTTCATGAGTACGGGTATGTGTATTTAGAAATAACACTGTACTTGTAATGTCCAAGGCCAATGCACTATTTCCAAACATCACAACTTACGAAGCATGTCATGTTCAATATGTATTGCATATGATGCATTATAATGTGCAGCACTATGGCACTTCAAACACTACTAAGAATCATAAAAACCCTCTCGTGTCCTTCTTCCAGTGCATAGTGCAGTGGAGTGCGGCTACTATTGGTTTTTGGAGCTGGGTTTGCACCGGATTGCAACAGCTCCAACACGACTGGTGCACTGCCATATAATGCCGCCATATGTAACGGAGTGCAACCGTCATAGTTCATTGCATCAATATCAATATACTTATCATTTTTTATTAAATATTTCACTATCTCTAGTTGGCCCCACCGTGCTGAGCGGTGAAGCAACGTATCGCCCCAGTCATTTCGTTGCCTCAGATTAGCCCCACGTGCTAACAGGAACTTCACTACGTTCAATTTGCCCGCTACACATGCTGAGTACAAAGGTGTGTTCCCATACAGTCCTCTCACATCTACATTAAACTCAAACTCAGGATTTTTGCACAGGCTCTCCACCTTTTCAATATCTCCATTACGGGCAGCGATGTGAAGTTCCGTCAAACCATCTTGAAAAATTTTGTGCATAATTATCTTCTCTGCAACGTTTTTATTTTTCAGTTTGTAAGCTAATTCCAGAGCAGTGAGTCCAGCGTACTCTGATTCCTCACCTGCCACAAGCTCCATCAATTTTCCATAATCACACAAGGCATAGAAGGCTGCCACTAATTTTAATTTGTTACTCAGAGCAACTTGATGTAGATATGTCAGACCCTTCCACATATCAGTAGCATTTGCTTTCTTCAGTAGTTCTGCCATTTTATAATTATTACCATGGAGAATGGCTGAGAATATTTCTTTTTGTATTGAAACCTTATCAACATCCTGATTAAAATTATCTGCAAGCAAGAGAAAATACATTGTACATCAGTAACTTAGCATATGTGATGATCATAGCAAGTTTGAATATAATCAACCCAGACATACCAGTGAAACAGTTGCTGAAATTATCTTTTTGAGACAAAAATGGCGGCTGCTAATTGGTCAAATTCAAACAAACCATGTGCATACATTTACGCATTATGTCTTGCTGTATCCAATTCATTTATTTGATGATTAAAATCAAAAATTCATTTGCACAATTGAACTTGAACTATGTATCTACCCATGTTCAAGATCTTATTGGCATCGCAACCAATCATACAGTTTATTTAGCTTATTTTAAGTCCAAAACATTACAGATGTGCCAACTGGTGCAAAGCATAAATGGTCAAAATTAAGGCCTGTTCATCCATGAGCAACCGTGAGCAACCACGGCCATCACTTAATATGAGGTTATTACAAGGATACCTCAAAGTATGCACAAAGAGAGTTCAGCTGAAGTATCAACCGACGCACAGCGGAGGTCGATGCGCAGCATACTGCCAACTCCAATAACTTACTGAACCAACCAACAGAGTTCTCTACTCAGATATTACACATTAAAACATAGTTAATAGAACTCTTTTGTTAGTTTTGCTAATTAACCATTGACTTCACTTTGATGTGTGTCTGACTACATCGCTTATATTGCTATCTTCTTTCACATTCCATGCATGTCGGAATGTGATCGGATGTGAAATTAGTATTTGTAGTTTAAACTGTTATAATTTCTATAAGTTAAATACTACCGGTAAGTTGTTGTAGAAAATGTTCATTGTTTCAGTAGGGTTATCGTATGCGTCTCCAACATGCCGATGAAATTTTGTACCCCAAAAATGCATCTTGGAACATTTCACAAGTTTATTTTGTACATTGAATTAGAATCTGTGAGTCTTTTATGAGAACCATGATAGTTTTTATTTTCTCAAAGTTCATTTTTCCCCAGATAGCAATGTTTTTTAATAGTATGGTAATTTTGTTCAGCTACTGAATTATTTGGTTGCTTAAAAAACATTTTTCAGTTTTTGATTAGTTCTCTTTTCAGTTGATAACATTTCTTCTCAAACCATGGTTGATTTAAACTTTTTTGCATTTTTCTTTCTTGTTTGTTTACAGGTTACTTTTTTCAAACTGCTCTCAACATTTTATATTGAAATATTTTTCAAACATGGTGTTGCTACATCAATGCCTGTGACATCAAAATTTGTTTCTAGATAATTTTCAAACATTAACTTGTTCTATTTTAATGATTTTGTGTTGTTGTTTTTTTGTGATACTTTCTCCTGAATAATTTAAACTTGAAGTTGGTTAATTAATAAAGTCCTATTGGACACTGATCTGATACATATATAATTTCATGAACATGCAATTCTATAGTAATCTTTTGTACAGATACATTTGTCTACCGTACTGGATTCTGCAGGGTGATGATAAGTATAAGTTACGTTCTCACACGTCTAAAAAACGCTGGTGTTAACACTGTTTTTTTGTTGTGCAAATATTAGATAATCTGCTGAATTGTCTGCTCGCGTTTTCACTTAGTAAAAACACTGGTGTTTTGCGCCCTCAACGAATCATTTCACGGAAAGGTCAATAAATAAATGGAAAGGTCAGTCGACAAAATGGCGTCCCCTCTGGTAAATGCATTTGCTTTGTTCCTGTTTTTCCGTGTGTTTTTATGCTGAAGAAGAAGATATCGACGAATGATTTATCAAGATTTCGAAGAGCAAGAAATCGTTAACTTGTTAGGTCGAACAAGACCGAGAAATGATCGGTTCATGTTCATGCTATTCGCGAGTATGAATAACACAACAATAGACCCAGCAACCCGAGCGATTTATACTCTAGCATCCCTAGACGTTTCGTCCATCATTCTTTGAATATTCGATTTTCTCTATACAGATATCAGTAATCTCGTTTCTTCGTCTGACCAGTTCAACATTCGACCTGTAACCTCTGACGCCATCTTGTGTAATGACAGCATAAATAAGTCAGTGATAGAGGGCGTTTAGCCATCGTATTGTGTTCACACGGCACATTGCATTGTGCAAGAGCCGGTGTGACAACTGCGTTTAGAATCTGGTCTTTCTTCTCTAAAATATTATTGTCATTTTCTACATGATAAACATGGAGAGATATAAATACATCTTTTCCTGACGAGATGAGTGTTTACACCAAATAAAAATCATGTTGAATTTAATATTGGTTAAATATTTTTTAAATAAAACTGCACACCGACTCTCTTCCGCTCTTACTAGATCTTCTTTTTCTATCTGATCTAAAATAAATATAAAAGCTATGAGTTAAAATGAGATTTTTTTTTATGTTTGAGCTTAAACTACAGACAATAGAAAAGATCGTCCATGCTCATGGACAGAGAGAATTTCACATTTTGATACGTTTTTGGGAGCAACTAACGGTGTTATGTGACTTTTTCGGCTGTTACATATCCATAGATATACCACCTTGACCATACGTATATATAATATGTATTGTTATTTGGTAGAAAGTCAGTTGATGAACATTTTTAGCGGTTGTGCACTGATCGAAGTTTTATTTCAGTAGTGAATGACGAGTTTGTTTGTTCAGGGTATTTAATATGATGCTGAATATTGCATTTAATTTAAAAATTAGCCAAATCCTAAATATTAAATCTTCAAATCTACTTTAGGGACTGTCCCGAGTGACGTAGGTGACATGGGCAGTCGTACAACGTGACAACACGGAAGTGACTTGTAGTTTCTAGCTCAAGTCGGTTCAAGCACCGTCCCTGGTGTTGAGGGACGGTGGTTCAAGTCTGTAACCACAGGCGCTCGGTGCCTGTAACTACATGTTTCAAGTTACCTGCAGTTCTGTGGCTCTTGGTTTTGCTGTTATATCTTTTTTTTAAAATTACCGATAAGGTTACTTCGTCCATCGTTATGGTGATCGCGACTCGACGACGGATGAACTCGGCAATAAAAACAATTCAAAAACAAATTACAGCGAAACTAGGAGCTACATAACTGCAACTACACTCAAGCTTGCAAGGTAATGGTTTGATTTGATTGCGCACAGTTCCTGTGGATCGCGTCAGAAAACTGACATTCATTGGAAATTACTAACCTTTAAAATCCATTGCTAGAATCGCCGCTTGTAAATAACATAACAATTCAGACCACAGCTGTTATTTGGCTGCTAGTAACGCGTCACAGTAACGTTTACTTCGGTTTGTACAAGAGTAAGGGGATTTCCCAGCGCAATGGCGGAAGTACGTCACAGCAGTGTTATATCACGTGACTGGAATATCACTAACGTTTTCCGGTTTCCGTGACCATGGGTCAACCGGGGGGTCGTGTTTATAACATGGTTAGTAAACTTTTCTTGTCAGGGTAATGTCAACCCCGATTTTACGAGCCCCTTTTTGAACAAATGTGTATGTGGAGAGGTCTGTGCAATGCCAGTATTCATTTGAAATTAGTAATATCAGAGGTAATATACATGTATATCTTTAAAAAATGCTAAAAAAACGTTGTTCAAGTCACAAATCTTCGCGAGGGAATTTTGTTTAAGCCATAACAATCATAATATTTTAATTTGTCAGAATTTGTGATATTAAATTACGGTGGTCGTCACGCCGTGTCCTGTCCGATATGGAACCCATAGCGACGTGAACAATTCGTGTACAAAATGGTAATTCGTTTTCATACCTTCATGAGTAGATGGTGAAAGTGGAGTTTTTGCGAAATAAATAGTGCACATATTAACTGAAGTTTAAACAAATAATGGTTATTTTCATGAATGCTTGAAAAAATGAAAAAACATATATAACATGTTATTACGTCGGTAATACACAGGCAAATGTAAACTTTCTAAATGCGCCGCAGCCGGTGTTCGACATGGGTCCCATGCGACGTATGGAAAGTACATTGTCTACATGAAATTCGAATGCACTGCGGGGTGATTGTCATAATGGCGCTTTAAGGCAGGATGCTGCCTGTGTTTTGGAAAGTTGATCATAAATTTCATTAGTTGTTATTCACAAACATGGAGCTACAGTGAAAAGCATATAGCTGTAGTCGTTATAAACGTTTTATAAATATACATTTTTGTAAATCAAAATGAATGTCAGAGTTCAAATTGACCTAACGAGAAATAGAATTGTGAAATTATCGCTAGTTATAATTAATTTTTGAAATAATTCAGGATAACTAAAAAGACGTCATCATGTATGATATGTTCACCCTATGTCACCAGCCTGTAATTTAACATACCGACAAAACGGTCGCCATTCGTGAAAATACAAATCTTAATTTCTCGGAAAGTGGGATGGTGACCCCAATAATTTTTCATACTCAATTTTCTTATATTGGCTGGAAGAACGATTTATAGAAAAAAATAATAAATTATGGGTATCAGTGTCATTCCTAGGCAGGCTACACTTACTCGAAAAAAAATAGTCGTGTGTATGTTTTCAAAATTAAACAACTTGAATGGGTCACCGATCTTGTCTTAGAATGTATTTTCCTATAATCTCAGACCACTAATAAAATCGTACGTAAAGGTCAAATGATTTAATGTGACGTTACAAAGGGGAGTTAGACATGGCTGCTCATTTTCGTTACAGTTACTTTTGGCTGCCATAGAGCAATTAACTTGTAAAATCGGGCACGGTGACAGCAAAGTTATAAAAGGTTTTCAATTATCAGGTCACAATTAAAATATCCATGTAGCTAAAATTACATTTCTAGCAGACTACACACATATTTTTGTTCGCCATATAACGTCTATCAAACATTTGAACTTTTCATTATGGAATCCTTGACAAAACCTTCTATTAAACTATATTGTTATATTTTGGATATGACATGAACAATCCATTATCTCAATTGGACGAATAAGCTATATTACTATATCTGTCTTTTTACGGCAGAATTTTAATTACTACAGTACAAAATCTTCAGTTGTATCGACAATTTATATTTCTTCCATCAGTAATCGGCACACCAAATGCCGTATCCCGTAAAGTCATAATCTCGTAAAGACAATACAACTGTGGCGTACTTAGTAGTCAGACATACATCAACGTAAATTGACTAATTGAATGAAAATACGCCACGTGGTCTGTAATACTATGGCGATAATTGGCGAAATGTGTTGAATCAATTATATCTGAGTTTTATTTCTGTCAGTGTGTCGAATGCGTGGTATAGAGCAAGCAATGATGTCGACGTCTCTGACTGTCGTATATCATACGGCTGGTATAAAAATAAATTATTTTATACCCGTCGAAACAAAATGTCATAAATAAGTCAGATCATGAAACAACCAATTAAAAGTGTAATATGCGTTATATAGTGAACTTATGCAACGTAATACGCCCAGCATTGATAATAAAACTAGTCTAAGGTTCAACAAATTATTAATTACTAGTATTCCCATCAGACATTTAGTAACAATGTATGGAATAATGTTTATAGTGTTAATATCGAGACGAAGCTGATATAATTATGTTCATTTTTTCACGCAGTGGACTCTTTTATACTGCCATAGTGCTATGAAATGCTGGGATTTGGAAAGAGGGGGGTATGCTACAATAATTCGGGGAAGGATATTATATTAGCAGCCAAAAAATTCTCATAATTTTATTTGGAATAAACATCAAAAACCGACCATTGAATATTCCATAAGTTTAGCATGATAAATTCAACAAAATCAATTGGGGCATTACTGCAAAGTGATCATGTTGAAATAGCCACATAAAATTTGGCGAATTTGACTCAATGCATGAAATTTAGCTAAAGTACCAACAATCTCATTTCGATAATATAATTTTAAATTTAAATTTACATATAAATTCACATTAAGGTACGCGTTGGTGAAGAAACTAATAATTCAGAAGTAGGAATACTGTAGGACTACAAAACAATGATCTTTTGAAAATTTATATGCGCTATTAAAATTGTATATAATTCATATAGTTATGTATTTTTTATAATAAAAGAAATACGAAATAGAATTCATACCACATACACAGACGCATGTACGTTGTGCAACAACTTATTTTAATTACAAATACTTAGTACACCATATTTACAAATACAGACATGACACTCATGATTCCAATGAAATAAATAAATAAATAAGTAGCCTGACATGGTTGCGTGAGTTGCGCCCTCCGCGGTGCTTCAAACCCAACAGGTGTCGTCAACTACATGTCAGACTAATAAATAAGTAAATTCTCATATACAATATATGTGAATATGTTTTGACGACTAACAAACATTTGTGTGTATATTTGTTCCATATTTACATATTACAGTGATACATTGCGACAATTAACTTCACCTATTTATAGAATGGAATGAAACGTATCACATTGTCAGGAACCAGTTCATATGCCATATATACGTACTGGACATGACAATACCAGAGAGGGCCAACGACATTTTGCACAACTTTTGTACTTAATTCTCACTTTAAGATCATTCACTGAATTTACTTGCAAATTGCGGGAAGTACGTTTACTCTCGGATTCGCTGTTATACATGTTTACGTATCAACGCGCATGCAACTCGAATTAATGGACCGTACTATTATTATTCCTGTCCATGCGAATCTGTTTAATGACTCAAACCGACGCAAAATTCAGTACTAACAAATACATGATTCATGAACATACAGTGCCTAAAACACAAGTGTAACTGGTCCTTTATCGAATAAGTGACAGGAAAACTAATACCGACATTACTTTTATCAAACAGAATTCAAATCATCCTAGCGTAAACGAATCACGAAGTGTATTCCAATGATATATATATATATATATATATATATATATATATATATATATATATATATATATATATATATATATATATATATATACTGCATATAAATTCTGTGATGTGTGCACCGTGACGAATAGCTGTGTAAATCTGGGCAACAGTTGGCACTATACTGTAGAGGTGCCATCCAAGCAAACTGGGACAACACGTAAGGGAATATCCGATTGAAGGGACTCGGGAGTGATAAACATATTTGGTATATAGCCCTGCACGATATATTGACTGTAAACAGTATTTAAATATACAAAACTCAAGGCTTATACCCAAAACTTCAGTCTCAAATAGTACAAATCATATATATATATATTAAAATAGATAATATACACTAACATTTCCAATTTCGTTGAAATTCAAAATGGAAATCATGTCTATTTATGGCACATAAACCAGAATCGGGAAATAATTGATGGTTGAAAATTTGTTTGTGATATATAAAAATATCTGAGAATTCTCTCCAGTGAAATTAATTTCGGCGTACTGAAAAAACACACAATCATTTTAACTACTTCATAACGCTTAGTACATGTACTTGCTGATGGGTTTTCTCTACAAATAAGAAGACTTCTGACGACCTAAATAATAATTTTAATTTTGCAAAGCGTGGTCATTATTGGTTACACAGGACCAATTTGACACTAACAACGTCACTTCGCTTGTTTGACGAATAGTACAAACGAATTTGAAAGCAGCAAAATTTTTAAAAAATACGACAGTTTTTTTGCTATTGCGCTGGTGCTGGATTCCAGTTTAGACATCTTCGGTTTTATTCTCAATTGCAGCAATGTTGTGGAACTCGGATTTTTGATATGGAATAACACAACCGTTTAGACCATTCGCGTGCGTCCCGGAGCTGCCATCAACAGGAACACTGTTCGCGAATGTACCGTGATCACACTCTTGACTTGTGGATGAAATATTCGGCGGTGGTGATCCCACTCCGAACTGTTTGGGCGATTCGATGTTGTCAGTTGTCGAGTTGACCACTGGAGACGGTGGCGCAATGCTTTGTTCATTGCTACGCAAAGGACAAACTGTATCTATGTCCGTGCCCTTGTTTATTGTCGTATTAATAGTGTCACTGCCGAACTGAAATTGCTCGTCGATCTTATCGTTTACATAGTAAAGTTTGTGGCGTGTTCCTTTTTTCTGATTTTGTTTCTCCAATGATTGCAGCCTGTGTTCTTTCATCCACACGCGTAACTGTCGCTGGCCTAGAACACCATCCACACCCTCCCCACTTTCGTTCTCCTCCCCTGCTTTCGGTTTTGGGGACTTTGAATTTTTCGGACCAACGACCGACAAAAGAACGGGAAGAAACAAAATACCATGGACGCCACCCCAAAATATACCGAAAAACATGGTCTTAAAGACTGCTCTGAAAACGTATGTTTTGGCATTCGACAAGGCAGCGATGGAGATGATGGTGGAGGCCACGCTTTGCACGACGGGTAAACCAAGTAAATACAGACCGTAAATGGCGCGGCGGTTGCGAGTCTCCCTGGGAGAGATGACGAAAGCGTATGTCAAATGAGCCGAATAATCGACACTGAAACCAATGCAGACTACGATTGTTATCATAGAAACGAAATCCAAACCGACACCCCATAGCGACATATAACCTACAACACCGACAACTATGGATGCCACAGTGAGGGTGACGTAAAGCGCACAGATCGGATGAGGAATGAGGAGTAAAGAAACAACCAGCATGGCGACAGCAGCTATTGCAATATTTTGTACGGTGTTGGGTAATATAGCATCAAAATGATCGTTAAATACAAACGTCGGGTGGTAGGCAATCATAGGCAGCCTTGAATTTTCGGCGATTTTTCTAGATTGATGCAAAGAATTCTGAACCGATTTTACATTTTTAACGTATCGAGATTGTACGGAATATCGCGAGGATATGATGGTGTTGTTGCTAAGGGCAATGTCAGACTTGTAATGCTCGTATAGCGGATTGGTCAGAAAATAACTCCTCAAGAGCGACACAAAAGTGTCCTCGTCCGAGTAAGATAGTCCAGCGTTGTCAAGAAAGTCCAAATAATCACGGAGCCAAGACTGCGTGCTGTATTCCGTACCGTAGAAATATTCATTTTCCCCGTACATAAAAAGGACGCGTTCGATTTCATTTTGAGTATCTGAGTGGGAATAATTTTCAGATTCGATGACGACGATCTGTACAACTGGTCCGTATTCGTTGAAATAACGTTCTTCGGCGTCGTAAAAATCCACGCTATAAGAGTCTTCTAGGGCGAGTTGACGGGGCTGTATTCCCTCACTGACCTTAAAACATCCCCAAATAGCAACACTTATATAGGCAAGGTATAAGATCAACGTGACCAATTTCATCCACGGCAGAGTGATAAAGGGGCCGTAATATTTGTCGAAAAAAGTCATCACCAAGTGGTCAGGAACCACGTCGTCACAGTCCGTGCTGTTACTGATACCACCAGCGCAAAATAATCGATAACTCAACGATTGAGACTCCTTTTTTGGCAAAACTTTCACGTACGTAAGGCAGTGCTTGTTTTGTCGTTCCCGACGTCCAATTAAAGCCATGCAGCCACCGAAAAATGTGATTTGGTAAATATAGTCGAATAGGATTGCAACCCCGCAATAGCAACCGAATATTTGAACAGAAGGGAAAGTTGAAATAGCTCCAATGCCGAACGCCAATACATCTGTGATGCTTGTTATTGTTATAGAGAGCGCTGCTTCTGAGAAGGTCTCCGCCATTCGATCAGGTACGCTGTTACGTGGTGGCGTTGTTCGCCATGATGCTATCATTATGAACATATCATCCACTCCAACTCCTACGAATTGAAACATACGTTTATGTATTAAATTTTCTGAGATACATGCAGTAGAATGACAGATCAACATTATTCATTTTATAAATATTTATAAATTTGACTATTCGACGATTCGATTGGACCACCGCATTGGAACATTTTCGAATGACGTCATTGCACACTGTGCTCATTGATTGGTTGGTTGGATTCAACTGCTATTGTAATATATCATTATTTTATAAGGAACGGGTTTGATCCACAATTGAGTCAAATACAACAACTAGTAAAGACACCATGGCTCAAATATTAGTTGGACTTCTGCAAATGAGCAAATGATCTGCCCATCATATCTGACAATGCTTTCCCCGCAACAGAACGTTGTCTTAGATTTTGACTGAAAGAAGCTGAATGAAATTACAAACTATGTACACATTGTAGTGTGTTCAGCAACTCGTGTACGAATAATAACCCCAATAAATATGATTTTATTTGGTAAAAATAATGTATTTTTCTGCATAAAAACAAAAGAATTTCACAATGTCGAAAACGAAAAGTCTTTATCGTCATGTTGGACATTATATGTTTATGAGCACGTTCGCGGCGTATATGGTTAAAGCGGGTGATTCGTCACCTGCGCATGCGTCAGACAGCCATAGCGTGTCATTGTTTGCAAACAAGCTTCTAGCCATGAGCCTTTGCGTTTTTAGCGTGTGTTGTTATCGTCGCTTGGGACTCAATTCCCGCGCGTGCGCAGGTGACGACTCTCCCACTTAAACAGTCTTAAACTAGATGACCTTTGATATGCAGAAATATACAGAAACAAACGAAGTTCACTTCATTTGTTAATTGACTTGACGAGAAATTGATTTATATTTCTCACTTATAAACAAGAAAGGGAAAGACCATAAATCACTTTTCACAATCATAAAGTCACGTCAGACGTGATGCAATCATCTAAACCAAGTCGATTAAAACATGGAGTCCCACAGGGTTCAGTTCTTGGACTTCTGCTTTTTGACTATTTACACATCAGCACTAGGAAAATAGCCTGTCACATAACTTTTATCTATACTCCCAACACAACTATACCTTTCATTTAAAGCTGATGACATGGATCGTAACATTGCCTTTATGAAAGCTCTTATCCAAGAAACCCATCAATGAATGACGACTGATTATCATAAGACAGAGCATGAAGGTAATGGACAGAGTTACTATTTTTCGGATCACGTCGCAAAAAGGCAAATGTGTACAGTTGAATGGCTGTTCTATAACTCCATCAACATCGGAACGCCACAATATAGCAAACTTGGACATTCAATGTGTACAGTTGAATGGCTGTTCTATAACTCCATCAACATCGGAACGCCACAATATAGCAAACTTGGACATTCAATCTGTACAGCTGAATGGCTGTTCTATAACTCCATCAATATCGGCACGTAGTCTTGGAGTTTGGTTTGACAATCACACATTTTCACATCAGGAATATCAGTTCAATTAGCAAAAAATATCCTACTCAAGACAAAACTAAACAACTCATCCATGCCTTTGTTATATGGAGAATAGATTATGCAAATAGTCTACTGCTCCATGGCGTCACGAATGTCAACATAAATAAACTGCAATTTCTACAAAACATAGCTGCTCGTCTGATTATGAAGACCGAAATAATATGAACATATAACTAACATTCTATACAACATTTACTGGTTGCCCATTAAACAACGTATTATATAACATTTCATGCTATTCATGGTACTAGTACTACACCGTTATATATTATATGTGAATTTTGTGACATTAGATCTTGTGTGCACTACAGTAAACTTTTTTTTAAATATAAATTAAAAACTCACATTTTTACTCAATCTTACTGTTAACTAGTTTTGTGCAGCTCCTATGAGCATATGTGACACTATATAAATGCCTATTATTATTATTATTATTATTATTATTATTATTATTATTATTATTATTA